AACCTCTGAGCACAGGTGATCCACCCGCCTCGGCCTCCCACAGCACTGGGACAACAGGCGTGAGCCACCACGCCCGGCCAACTTTAATTAAATTTACATAGCCACAAGTAACTAGTGAATACCATGTAGGACAGTGTAGGTCAAGGCAGTAAATGAAGCAGGAGACAGGAAATTTTATGCAGCATCATCCTGTCCACACAAAGGACATCATCTTTCTGGGTCTAAATGTCTCAAAAACCCTCCTGTCTTCCCTCCTAGATGATAATCTGTTCTCACAGACACATCCTCCATTCCCATACATATGTGCCTTAACTTAGACTCACGTGCCTTCTAGCACAGGGAGGAAATGGTATATTGAATGGCTGGACGTTCTTTGAATATAAAGATAAACTTGAAAAATACCCTTCAACTGTTGACCCCTACAATCCCACACTAACTTCTGGGGAAAAGGGCACATTGAAGTGTAGTACAAGGTTCCCAGGCTTTTGTCAACGATACCTTAATACCTTAATACTCCCCGGTATAAGCAATTACCTGTGCACTGCACAGGAGATTCATTTTATGGGGAGGAAAAAAAGCAAATTAAGAGCCATCAAAGAAAGCCCTTGCCTCAGCTTGGTAAGAAATGTGTTCTTTCTCTTTTCTAATCCTTTTTAATTTGACTTAAGAAAAAAAAAAGCTGTATGAGAGGTAGGGTGGTATAAATAATACTGAGTGTACTATATCTACAGGCAGAAATCTAGGTCCTCTGGGCTGCGATGGACAGAAAGCCAGGAAGGCAATCACAGAGGAAGGACAGACTGAAGACAATCTGTGCCTGAATGAGTTCTGAAAACTCACTAGAGAATTCAAGTAGAGAAAATGAGGCCTCATAATCCCTGGGGCTCTGGAAGCTGCTAGCAGGATGAAAGCCAAGTGACTAGAGCCTTTGGTTTGTTTCATCAGACAGCCACAGAATAGTGCTGGTAAAGGAACAACTCCTGGGAGAGACGTGATGCAACAGACCTGGGTAATAAGCCACACACCTGGCTTTTTAGGTGTTGATTTCTTTTGGGGGGAGGGAATAGAAGTAGGACTTCAGGGGTTCCCTAGTCTACCATTTCTGTACCCAGCAGGCCAAGCACATAGGGCCTGTCTGTTGACCTTAGGATTGCTCTGTCTGTCACCAGGGTTGGTGTCCTTCTAAGCACCATCCCTTCTGTGGCCTCTCAAAGGTTAGAGGTGCAGTAGAAAGAAACTCATTCAGACATGAGAACTAAATACACCACGGTGGAAATAGCATTTCAAATCAGCAAGGGAAGAGTCTGCTAGTCATTAGATGGTACTAGGACAAGTGGGTATTCTTTGGGGGAAAAAGTTAGATTCCCAGGGATAATGAATTCCAAATGGATAAAAGACAAAAATACAAATAATAATAATAATAATAAATGTATATGTATTCTTAAAATTACAGGGAACTAAAGCTGTAAAGCACCAAACGGCTATTGGAACAGCAACCCAAAAGGAAACAAACATTAGATAACATATGAATCATACGGGGGGAAATAATATACTGACTGTGTTTATATATAATTTTTTTTTTTTTTTGAGACATACTCTTACTATGTCACCCTCCATAGAGTGCCATGGCATCACAGTTCACAGGAACCTCAAACTCCTGGGCTTAAGCAATTCTCTTGCCTCAGCCTCCCAAGTAGCTGGGATTACAGGCGCCCACCACAATGCCTGGCTATTTTTTGGTTGCAGTTGTCATTATTGTTTAGCAGGCCCAGCCTGGGCTCAAACCTGCCAGCCTTGGTGTATGTGGCTGGTGCCCTACTCAATGAGCTACAGGTGCTGAGCTCAAGAAGCTGAATTTTATTCAGAGTGAACCTGAACCCACAGAAAGACTTTAAGCAGAGGATGGGCATGATCCATATAGTTGTGTGTGTTTGTTTTTAATCTAGCCATTATTTATTTATTTATTTTTTGAGATAGAGTTTCACACTATGTTGCTGTTGGTAGAGTTCTGTGGCATCACAGCTCACAGCAACCTCAAACTCGGGCTTAAGCAATTCTCTTGCCTCAGCCTCCCAAGTAGCTGGGACTACAGGCACCAGCCACAACACCCTGCTATATTTTGTTGCAGTTGTTGTTTAGCTGGCCTGGGCTGGGTTTGAACCCGTCAGCCTTGGTGCATGTGG